ATGCACCTCCAGCTCCTCGGCCCGCTGCCCGCTGCCGGAGAGCCCCAGCCAGGAGCCTGCCAAGGGCCAGCGGCGCACGAACCCCCTCAACATCCAGATGCTCTCCAGGACCCTCCACGAGCAGATCTTCCGGGGGGCCCAGGTGCACTATTCGGCGGCGGAGATCCAGAGGAGCGTGGAGCACCTGCAACGCCACGACCTGTGGGGCAAGGAGACCTCCACGCTGCCCGACGTGGACCTGCAGCTGCCCCGCATGTACGGGGACAACATCGACGAGCATTTTCGCCTCCTGGCGCAGAAGCAGAGCTTACCCTACCTGGAGGCGGCCAACGAGCTGCTGCGGTGCGAGCTGCCCCCCTTGCCCGTGCAGTGGGCATGGCAGCTCGGCTGGACCCGCTACGGCCCCGATGGGCGAGCAGAAGCTGTCGACTTCCCCAAGGAGCGGGCGGTGGTGTTGGACGTGGAGGTGTGCGTGGCTGATGGCCACTGCCCGACGCTGGCCGTGGCGGTCTCGCCACACGCCTGGTGAGACGCGGTGCCGGCCGCGATGCCGGGGTGGTGCCTGTTGTGGCAGCGGGGGGGGATGTGGCTTCGGGAAGGATGGGGCTGCTCCCGAGTGGGGTCTCTTCCAGCAAACTACTGCTGGCTTGCGGGGAAAACACAGCAGAGCCCAAAGCGTGGCTCTGGGATGTGGGACGTGTGTCCTGGTTAGCAAGTGCACCGCTCCCCAGGGTTGGGTACCTCCCTCCCGTGGGTGGGATCCTGCTCAGCACCCCACGTCACAGCAGGTACTTTTGATCCTGGGAGCCCCTACTGTGTTTTTTAGGGCTGTGGGGTGCCACGTGTCCTCCGCAGGTACTCATGGTGCAGCAAGCGGCTGCTGGAGCAGCGGTACTCCTGGTCCAGCCACCTCACCCTGGCTGACCTCATTCCCCTGGAGAGCCCGGCTGGCGCCACCTGTGCCAGCAAGCAGGACTGGCCGGAGAGAGTGGTGGTGGGGCACAACGTGGCCTTCGACCGGGCCTTCATCAAGGAGCAGTACCTCATCCAGGTAATGCGTGGGGCTGTTGCTTCGTGCCAGCAGCTGCAGTTCACTTGCATTGGCTCTTCGGGGTTGTTTCGGCAGATGCTGTTCTGCACAGGTACCCTGAGGTCGTGTTTGCCCTGTCCTGCAGAACAGGTTGAGGTCGGATCCCTTTAGAGGGAGATGTTCTTGCACCACGTAAGGTTGCTGGAGGCTGCAGGGTTGCAGGCGGGGATGTGGCAGGAGCCTTTGAGCAGCGGACAGCCTGCGCTGGGGATGCTCTCCAAAGAGGGGTGCCAGGAAGCAAAGCTTTACCTTGACAAAAGCAGCCTGAGCAAAGGACTTGCAGCTCTATAGCGCAGGGTGGTGCTTGCTGGCAGCTGCGGCACGTTTGGCAGCACGTTTCTCCTCCAGCATGTCCCAGAACATTTCTTTTCTCCCACCTTGCGTGTCCCAGGGCTCCCAGATGCGTTTCCTGGACACCATGAGCATGCACATGGCCATCTCGGGGCTGACGGGCTTCCAGCGCAGCCTCTGGATGGCTGCCAAGCACGGCAAGAGGAAGGGGCTGCAGCAGGTCAAGGAGCACATAAAGAAAACAAGCAGCAAAATGGAGGGACCGGCTGTGAGTAAAGTAGCTGAGCTGCTGGCA